ACATTTACATCTCAACATGAAAGAACTTGAGGGGCTTGTAGAGCATACCGCATGTTTCGTTTCGATGATCCGAACTATTCATATTTTAGAACTTGTTGAGTAGAATATTCATGTAAAATTAAGATAATCGGACATCAGTAGCTATAAGTTTCAATTAAATTTATATTACAAAAAATGAATAGTTATTCTTAAAATTTTATTTGTCGCCAATTTTTTTAAAACAAATATATTTCAAATATATAACTACTGATGTCCAATTATCTTGATTTTTTGTACGAATATTTTATTCAATAAATCTAAAAAAAAAATGAATAGTTCTAAAATAAATCTGCCAAACCCAAACATTCTCTCAAGTTGAGATGACAACTTGAAAAAAAACCCAACCTTAATAAATTAAGTCTTTTTTAAAAACATAAATGATATGATTTTAAGTTTTAATCACTACTTAGAAATAAATTAAAATTGAATTCACAAACTTTTCACTTAATTTTAAATGTTGAATGTTAAATTTTTTAGTTTGTTATTATTATGCCATTGTTGAAGTACACTGTCATCATCCTACCAATGTCAACCCATTATAACTCCCACCACCACTATTACGACTCCACCTTTATCACCTACCAATGTCAACCCATTATAACTCCCACCACCACTATTACGACTCCACCTTTATCACCACTATCGCTATAGTTGTCCTACTATATCACTACAAATACAATCACAACTATTGTGATTGTCACTATTGTCGCACTACCACCACAACCAATATACAACTACTAAAGTTGTTGCTACCTCCATAACCATAAGATAAAATTATAAGGAAAAATTTAGAAGTTTATAAATTTCATATACAAAAATTTGATTAAATTCAGAACTTAAACTTCGGTAGATAGTAAACAAATTTATGTTAAAAATTTAACATTTAACATTCAACTATTAATATTTAACTTTTAGTTTCAGAATTCAATTTTTATTTCAATCAAACAACACCTAAAATGACAAAATAAAATAACAAAAAATATTTATCATCAAGGTTCTTTTAACATATTCTCAAAATACATGTCGAGATAATTTTTTAAAAATTACACATTCTTTTTCACGTATTTTTATACAAAAATATATATGATTTTTGGAGGGAAAGAATTACATTCCAGGACAAAAAAATATATATATATATATATATATATATACATATATACATAGGGTGCAACTCGTTACACTCTACCGCTTTTGAGTTGCACCTCACCACCAAAGAAGTTGCAGTCTCATGTTTTACAAATTTTTTTGATCTTCTGATTGTTTTTTTTTTTTGTTTTTGTTTAGCTGGTACCCTAAAAACACATATTAATAAATTTCAATTTCAAAATAAATTTTGAAATTTTTTCAAATTTCAATTTATGAGACATTTTTAGTTTTTGCCTATATTTGTCTATCATTCTATTTTATTTCCAACACTTCCTGCGGGACAAGCTACCTTTAATTAGAAACCACTCTCCATAATTATTTTTTGTTTTGGAATTTCAAAAACTAGCTTGAACGGCCAACTTGAAATGATCATGAGAATCTATTCTCCGTGTTAATTTCTTATATGTTTTTTTTTTAATTTTTATTTTTCGGAAACTTACTATAGCTTACATCTAAGGGAAATGGAGAAAAGATCATCCCGCAATGCTCCATATGAAATCGAATTCACAACCTCCACTATGGAGGTTGGAGAGCATATCAGTTGTATAGCACTTTTTTTATTATGAGATTGTAGGTTCAAATCTTATATAAAAAAAAAGTTTGATACCTTTTGATCATATCTTCTTTATTATGAGAGTTGTATTAACCTCAAGGGATTAGTTGAATGGTAAAGACTTGATGAGAGTGGCAGAGTCAGAAATTTAAGATAGAGGGGCACATATTACTCACATCATTGAAAGGAAGAAAAAAAAATCCACAATAAACAACAATGAAATACTATTAAATTTATACATTTTTTTGGGTCCATTGTTGAGATCCAATATTACAATTATTGTGCAAATTACATCAATATACAATCAATAACCCTACTAAATTTATGATTAACGAATTCAGTACTATTAGCTCAACAAAAAATTGCACAACGGAGAAAAACAATAAACTAAACAAATCCTATTATAAGAATAAAATGTTCAATTAATTCAATTCTTACCATTAACTTTTCAGTTTAGAGGATAAAAGAATGAACAAAAAAAATAAAAATAAAAAATAATAGAGCACTTTTAAAGATTTTAAAATACAAAAGAAGTTTACATGATTCAAGGATGGGGCACTTTTATAATTTTATAAAGGACAAATTACATATAAATTTCATATATAAGAAAAATATTGTAAATATGAAAACCTCAGGGGGGCCATGTGACCGTCCTGGTCCTACATTGGCTCCGCTTCTGTTTGATAAGATCAAATGTCTTTAGTTCAAGTCAATCTAAGGATCACTGAAAGTTTACTCGGTTGTTAACTTTAAGACTATGGATTTTGTTGACGTGCGCTCAAGCTAGAAAGGTTGAGACACTTGGTTAAAAAACAAAAAAGAAAATAGATAAAAGAATAAGAGTTGTATTGATTGTCGAGTTAGGCTAGATGGTCTCTTTAAACAGAAAATCTCATTGACCCAAAATTGTAATGTCAGTTTTTTTATTTATTTTATTTATTTATTTATTTATTTTTTCATTCAAATTGAGCCTAAGGATTAACTAGTCAAATAATTAAAAATAAATTATCAATTAGTCTCTCAAATTTTATTTTAATTTTTAATATGACCCTCTAACTTTTAATTCTTTAGAACGACAAATTGAAAGCTTCCACTCTTTTAGTATGCTTAAATTAAATAGAATGAAAGTTTGGGAGCAATTGAGAGGGAATAAAAATAATCACAGGAATTATGTGAGTTCCAACATTGCCATGTGACAGAATTATAGATTAGGACATGTATGACAGTTGTAAAATTCTCATTTATATTGTGTAAAATTCATCAATAGCTGAAATCTTATCAATATAGAAGTCCTAAATAACTTGAGATTATTGGGATAACATTTCTAGAATACACAAGTCACTCCATATTATAAATAGACGACACCCCATGAGTTGAGGTACGCTATTTCTTTCTATCCATTAAATAATTGTATAATATTGGAGGACTAACTTGGGCGTCGGAAGACCCCAATCGTTCCACAACTGAGGGAGTTTTATGTTGTAGATGGTGATGGTGTGGTGGTTCTAATAAATTTTTTCGTTAGATTTCTTTATTAACAAAGATTTGATTTTTTTGTGTCCATACAATGACGCTCAAACTTTTAACTCTTCCATTGAAGCCCTCCAATTTTTCTCAAGTTCAATGTGACCTTTGATCTTTTTATTTTTTTCTATTTAAACTTTCTATCTTTAATGAGCCAATGTAATCCAGTTTAATAACAGATGTGAAAAAAACCTACCGAGTGCTTTCTAAAGTATCTAATTTTAAGATTTGAACTAAGAAAATAATAGTTTAAACTGAAGGAAAAAAAAGATGAAGAGTGTAAGGCTAATGGTTTAAGATTTCAAGTGAAATTTTTTACATTTAGTTTAATTTGTATAACACAGTATTAATTTTATCAATAAATTGTTAGTTGCATTTATAGAAAAGAGAGTGGAATCCAAATTCCATTGGCATGTACAACACTTTTCTTCGGCCTCGATCTTCCTATCCTACCATACACATACGGGTCAAAGAAGTCCAAAAACAATTTGATGCGTTCAAAATGGACTAGCTTGAACTGACAATTTCAACAAAACTAAATTAACCAAAAGTTGTAACTATCTACACACATACCCGTTCGTATCTAATTACTTCCTCCAAAGATGCTAACACTGTACGAGAAATTGACGGGAACATCCCGAGTCATTGACCCGCCGATAAACTTCAAATGACATTATCCTGAAAAACGTACAGAAAATGAAGAGTTGAGATTCTCACCTTGTGTTTTTTTCTGATCTCCCTACTTGTAATGACAGAGATATATTTTAAATTAATTTAACGGTTCAGATTTGAGTGAAAAAAGTAAATGTGAATTTGTTTTATTATTTTTTTATTTTTAAATAGACAAATTTAAACTGTTAAATCAACTTAAAATATATTTCTACCGTTACAAGTAGGGAGACAAGAAAAGAGCACAAGAAGATGATCGCAACTCGAATGAAAGAGTTAAGTGTGTGTGAGCGTTTTTTTAACTTTCCCACAAAAGCACATGTTAACACGGGGTATGGCTGGTTCACCGTCCGTCATCAACTTGAGGACTAACCTCGCCAAACACCTTAGCTCTTGAAGGCTTTGTTTCGGAAGTTAGATTGGTTTTTTAGTTTTTTAATTTTTTTAGTTTAGATTAAAATGTTTATTTGAGGTGATTTTTTTAATTTTTATAAAAGAAAAAATAAAATAATTATGATTTGAATATATTATTTTATTTTATTAATTTTTAAACTTATTTTATTTTTTTATAATTATTTTAATCCCAACCTCATTTCTGGCCCATATCAAATGAAGGCATAGCCTCTATTTGGAAAGTGGGTTGGCTTTTTGACTTTTTTGACTATATGAGCCTGGGCTCAAAAGCTTAGTTTGAGAAGGACTTTTGACTTTTTGACTTTTTTAATTTTTTTGTGAGAGAAGAGTGTAATGATTATGAAGTTGGATGTGATATTTTGTCTGTTGTGACTCATGAGTCTATTCTGTCTTTTATGACTCATCAAACTAAAAAAACTCAATGAACCTTTGCCAAACCAACCCATAGTCACGCCCTTTTTTAATTTTGCAACTTGAATGCATGAATGAATTCAAAATAAAGCAGTTGTACATTCGTGAGAGGGACCTCTTTTGTAGCTTTCCTCCCCCTCTTGCCAGTTGTGGTCCCACAAGTTGGATCATCCAACTAATTGACGGAGGAAAAGAGGTACGTTGGGCCTATCTGTCTATCTGCCGATCAATGTCATTAATGAGGAGAGGAGAGATGAAGGAAGGACCCCCCTAGAGATTTTGCCCCAAAGCCCACAACAAAGCCTGCTTGATTTGCAGAGAGAAATCCAAAGGACATTTTCTAGCCAGAAGCCGCGAACAACTGAAACTGCATAACAGAGAGAGAGATAGAGAGAGTGACAGTCACACAAATATATACTGATACATATTTAGAGAGAGAGAGAGAGTATAGATAATTCCATTCGAGTCCCTCTCTTTCTTCTTGTCCAATCCGTAAGTAAGTCCCCTGTATCATTACTCTCTTTCTTCTGTTTGTTTCTCCTTCTTCGTCACTTTTTTTTTCCCTGTTTTTGACAAAATCAACTGCCAATTTCCTCATTTTTTTCATCCCTATTGCAAACAGATCTAAATCTAATTCTTCTTATTTTCAATACCACCATATATATATGTATGTTTATTATTAACTGTTTATTTTATTTTTGAAAGTTTTTGATCGATTCTATTTGGGAATTTTTGAATTACTGTTTCACAGAAACTTTAGAGATCTGGTGTCGCTAACTTTGATCAAAACCTTTGTTTTTATGGGGTTTTAAATTCTGGGTTAGTCTCATTATCATATTATTTTTATGATTTTGACTTGTCTCATTAAATACCCAATTGAAAGATTGATTTTTTTTTTTAATATTTAACCCTCATTGGATCTGTATCGTTATTATTTGGATGCAGATTGGTGAGCGTTACAGATATACGCGTAACGTTTAGGTTTTATAACAATTTACTTGGTTGCTGTTATTGGGTTTGCTTTATTTGCTGAAAAATTGATATAGATTTCCTGATGATCTGTCTTTAAAAAAGACCAAATTTATATGATATCTGAATAGATAGATTGTTTCTGTGTTTGACAAACTCTTTGGGGATTTTTTGGGCTTTTTTTTTTATACCCATTTTCAGAGGTGAAACTTCAGTCTGGTGAGAACAAAGGGGCGTCTTGGACTGGTAATTGGTGGTTTCCTAGGGTTAAATTATACTGAGAAATGTTGGAAGATTGGTCCTGTGTGGTTTCAAGGGGTTACCGAAGAACTTGTGAACGTGAAAACAGCTGGACTTGCATGAATTGCCGGCTAGAGAATGGCAAACGAGCATTAGAAATAGATGGCAAAGAAGAAATTGGTGTAAGGAAGTTGTTTAAGCAATCGGATGATGCTCGTGAGAGAGTCGATTCGACTCAACTATTGGATGAGGTTTCTATGTCCCCGGTAGATAATTCAGACTTGGATTCAATTGCTGGGGATAGTTCAGATTTGAATTCCAACAGAGGGGAAAATTCAGATTCGGTTTCCAACACGGGGGATAATTCAGATTCAGGTTCCCTAATAAATGGCATTGGCAGAGACAACTCAATAAGCTGTCTCATTCGGTGTTCAAGGGCCGATTATGGTTCTATTGCATCCTTGAATCGGAGCTTCCGCTCTCTAGTTCAGAGCGGTGATCTCTACAGACTTAGGCGGATGAATGGCATCATTGAACACTGGGTTTATATTTCGTGCAATCTCCTTGAGTGGGAAGCATTTGATCCAAATCGTTGCCGTTGGATGCGTTTGCCAATGATGCATTCCAACGAGTGCTTCTTTTTTTCGGATAAGGAGTCCTTGGCTGTTGGAACCCAGCTTCTTGTATTCGGAAAGGAAGTGATGTCCAATGTCATCTACAAATATAGTTTATTGACGAACACATGGTCGTCTGGAATGAGAATGAATGCTCCAAGATGTTTGTTTGGGTCTGCAAGCCTTGGAGAGATTGCTATTATAGCTGGTGGTTGTGATTCTCATGGTAATGCTTTAAGCTCTGCCGAGCTCTATAATTCTGAGACTGGAAATTGGGTTACACTCCCAAGCATGCGTAAGACACGGAAGATGTGTTCTGGGGTTTTCATGGATGGAAAGTTTTATGTGATTGGAGGAGTTGGAGGAAGTGATTCGAGGCTTCTTACATGTGGAGAGGAATATAACTTGGACACGGAAACTTGGACTGAAATCCCTAATATGTCCCCGGTGCAGAGCGGTGCAGCCAGGGAAAATGAGTTGCCTGCAACGGCTGAGGCACCCCCTCTGGTCGCTGTTGTAGATAACGAGTTATATGCAGCTGATTATGCACGTATGGAGGTGAGGAAATACGAGAAGGAGAGGAGAGTGTGGGTTACTGTGGGGAGATTGCCGGAAAGGGCGGCCTCAATGAATGGTTGGGGTTTGGCATTCAGGGCATGTGGACAGCGGCTTATTTGTATTGGTGGACCTAGGTCTGCCGGTGAAGGATTTATAGAAGTCAATTCATGGGTGCCAAGTGAAGGCCCCCCAGTGTGGAACCTGCTTGACCGAAAGCAGTCTGTGAGCTTTGTTTATAATTGTGCAGTGATGGGTTGCTGAAGATTTGGGTTTTTGCGGCACTCTGAATGGGATCTGAAAGATTGCTTTCTTCATCAGCATAGCATTCTTGGCAATGGGTAATTTATTCCCACCTTTTTATTTCCCAATTTTACTTTTTTTCTTCTTTGGAGTGGAGGGAGGATGGGAGTGAATATAAGAATTCACTCAAGATTCAACAAAATGTTTTACGGGAAAGAGGTCTTGAGTTATATAAATATTTTTTTTATAAAAAAAATTCTGTTTTCTTCTCCATTGGATTTCTCTTCCTCCATTTTCAGTGACATGAGATTTTTAAAAGTGGGAATCAGGTAGCACAGGGATAGGTTTAATAATTTAAAGTTCCAATACGCTGGTAGGTTGGTGTTTGCTGAAGGCTTTTCAAGAATCATAGAATGTGTAACATGGGTTTTACTTAATTTTCTTGGCGTTGACTTGACGAGAGGAAATAAGCTCTTCGAGGTTGTTCTACTGAAACATTGCTGATGTACTGAGTACATTTATTACTTCAATTCATGGGCTATATTGAGCTTTTTCTTTTCAATTTCATGTGTATCAATAAAATCTTTATTTTATTTATAGTTCTATTTGCTGGTAAAATAGGTCTAGACTGTGATGTTTCTGCTTAGTGTCAAACAGGTTGCCATATTGATGGTTGATTTGTTGGTTTAGTTTTTGTCATTGAATGCTTTTAGGTTCCATTCCTTTCTTCCCATATTTTTGTGAGGCTACACGAGACTGAGAGCTAGAGAATGTAATGATTTAAGCCATTTTAAGATGTTATAATCTATAATCAATGGGCTTCCAAATAGCGACTTCAGTTATGGACAGTAGCAGTTCATTGTGCATGATAATAGTGTGCATAAATTGGTTTTTTTAGGATTGAAACTTTTTTGAGGTTGCATTTCATTTTATTTCTGCGTTTCATTTTATGGAGAGAAAATAATATTAACATGTTGAAAAATCCAAATGCTATTTGATACAGATTAGGGGAACAATTAGACAGAGGAGTTGAATAGATTACTTGTAGGTTGCGAAAAGAAAGTGTAGTTGAGGAGATAGATGTGGTATTTAACATTCTTCTTGTATTTTTTGCTACATAGTTGAGGAGATAGATGTGGTATTTAACATTCTTCTTGTATTTTTTGCTACATGGTAGAGCTTTTTGTTATTTTCCCTCCTTAATCATGTAATTCTGGTCTTCTGCCTAGGGGTAATAGATTCAGATTTCATTAGAACCTTTTGTTCCTTTTGCTCTTTTTGCTCTTTTAGTTGTTGCTTGCAGGAGTTGAATCAAGCAATGCCTTCCACTTTCCTTTTTCTATTGTTGAAGAAAGAAAATTCTGATTTCATTCCATGTTCTGACTTAAACAAGTGAAAACTATGTTACATGGAGTCTTCTATTTCTCCCAAAGTATCTTGTCCACCAGGTAAGGATGTGGGATATGTGTCCGACACTCCATACCCAATTTAAACACTTGGATCCTTCAACTTTTTACAATGTTTAAAGAATAAAAAACTTACATTTGCTAGAGAAAAAACATTTATAGCCTAACAAAGGTGAGTGTTAAAAATTACATGCTTAGTCTAAATCTTATTTAATTTCAAGTGCATTTATATAATATTTATAACATTTTATTTAAGAGTATCATATAGTATGTAATATGTGTATGTCTATAACAAGTCCCCGTATCCATATCCTATGTGTAGGTACATGTCTCAATATGTTTGTTTGGACGGATTGGATAATGAGAGATTGTAATCTATCAGACTGTTAATCCTGGGATATATAGTCCTTGGACTATTTGGCTGAAAAGGATGTGTATTCTATGTTTGTTTAATCATATGCTTATTTGAAATATTATGAAGCATAAATGCTCAAAAGACTATTTTATCATTTTGAATTACTTACTAAATAATATGAATACTAAATCTGAGTTATAAATTATACTTTATTTTTTGGCTAGAACTTTTAAAAAATTAAATAAATAGAACATCAATAAAAATTGAATAAATTTATTTTAATTTTTAGTTGAAACTTTTAAACTTTATTTTATTTTATTAAGTACAATAATCTGGAGGGCTAAAAATGTCATTTTACCCTCTATTCCGGAGGAGGAGTTATCCAATCATTTTGTATCCCACACTCTCCCATGGTATACAATAATCCCACAAATAAGGGATTGATAGTCCGGTTGGACTATTAGTCTAGGTTACATTTTTTGTACCAAACATTGGACTGTTTCATGGAATGGACATGGAGTCCTATCCTACCCTCTAATGCCCCCAAACAAACACCCCCTTAGATTTTAGTTTATGAAGCTCCGACGCTTGGACACACACCTATATTCGATACTCGTACCGAAGTCCGTTTAACATACTGTGAAAAGTCCTCTTTTGCTCCAATTTTGCAAACAGTTTCCTGAAAGATAGATAGTTGAAACTTATTTTATGTAATTTCTGAAACAAAATGGGAAAACAGATAGAACAAGAATGTTACCCAGTCGGCTCTTATCTGTAAGCTTTTATTTTTTTGTTTGTGGCCTCATCTATGTGATTGAACAAGGGAGTGCTTTTATAATTTCACCTTCTTCCTTGTTGAGATTGTTCCAGATAGCTCTCGACTCAGACCTGGTTTGTTACTCTGTTATGCATGAGCTAGTAGATTGTACTGGTATTTGCATGTATGATTTATATATGTAACATATAAATCATCTTCTCTCAAGAAAATATCTAATTTTGATTTTGGTTCTATTATGTGTACTTCCATCTATGTATTAATTTAGTTATGCATTGAGGTCCTGATTAAAAGCCCCCAAAACAGGCATACCATTAATAAATTGCTTCTGAAATAGTTGGAGGAAAACTAGATAACATTTTGTGTTAGTGCATTGAAATGAATTTCTGTTTTATTGATTCTTTGAATACTAAAGTTTGTATTCATCATAAAAGCAATAATAAAAACATTACCCGGTCCATGTTTGAAATCCTTAAGACCCAATATATTCTTATGTCTTGTGATAATAATAGTCTCATTCCATTTGTTTTCACTTTTGTTGCAAAATAGCATGTTGGAACTGTATTATTGTTTTCAAAGTTCACAATCTAAAGATGGTCATTTTGGGGATGAAATGATTCTTGTAACATAAATATATAACCAATGCATTTTGGCGAGTGTTTTTCTTTAGCTGATGTGAAGGTTCTATAGAAAGTTAAATATAGTTGACATCACATGTTTAGATGTATGTGAGGTGTCTTCATGAGCTATTGCATATTTCTCAAATTTATTTTTCAAAAGGAGCACTTCACAATTCTTAGTTGTTGCTGAGTTCCAGAGTGTTAGTTATTAGCAAGGTATCAAGTTGGTTCCTTGAAAATTTATTAGAATTTGCGGTTGACTGCTCTAGTCCTAATATGAAATTTCAATCTGGTTCTGTCCAAAGAGAAGGTTATTTGGCCTAAATATAAATGTATGTGGTGTTCAGGTCTGACGTGTTACTACAGAGAAATGTTCATCTAACATACTTTTTACCTGTCTTGGAATAGTCCATGTAACGGTTGGTTTAAGCTTGATTGGATTGTTTTCTTTTGATTGACTGAAAAGGGGGTGGAGTTTGATACAGTCTTCATTGGTGCGCTATACCGATCATGATTTTCCTACCCCCGGAATGTAAGGTCCTTCCCTAGAACTCACCAACGTTAAGGGATATATTTTTTTATTTTTCAATTGGATGCATTTTGTATTAGCTTTAAATGTTCAATATTTTTAATGTGTGCTTAACATTTTGATGCCAATGTTTTGTATTTTGCCACTCCACATTGTGTTTCTTCTTTCTTCGTTTCTTTATTTTTTTGGCTCAAAAAAGGTTGGGAGGGAGACCTTGAGGCAGCATATGCCTATGTGGGGAACAGACCCATATGACTGCTATGTTGCACATAGGTCTATTTCATTATACTTTATACTTTCCCAGTTGAAGCAAGTGCCATACCTAGAGTGAGCCCAATAATAGTCAAGACCATAAGCAAGAGTTGCCTCCAAACATTGTGGTCCTCCAAATGGAAGATGTACACAAAATCCACTTTACCCCCAGTCATTCAAAAATAGTCGAAGATGCCTCATGCAGCCTATAATGCAACACATACTCCGATAATGCAACACTTACTCTGTCAAACCACATCTCCATCAACAACTGTTGCCTACAGCACCACCCATCTAAGTAGCACAGACACGAATCCGCCAACACATCGACTTTAAAAAAATACATGACAAGACACGTGTGATGCGTTATAATTTTATATTGACCAGTAGTGTGCATGTATCGGTTTGGGAGTGGGAGGGATGGTAGTGCTGTTGTGGGGGTGAGAGAAGTGGAGGACAAGAGAGAACCTAGAACAGTTCTCAAGTTTGTTGTGTCAAAATGAGAGTGAAAATTGGGCCTTTATGATTTTCTTTTTTTCCCCTTTCTTAAGGGGAAAAAAGGAAAAAATTAATTGGCAAGTCTCAAGTTTTGCATGTGTGGCATTCAGTAAAGTTGTTAGTGTTGGTAGACTGATTGCTGGTGGTGTATGGGTTATGGTTTTCAGTAATTGAGGAAGATGACGATGGTTGACCATGCGCAGCAAGATGCAATGGTCTTGGGGAGTACTATTAACCAGTGGCTCCTTCACCAACCCTTTAGACCATATTGTATCTTGTGCACACACATGTAACATCCGCTAGGCAGAGTTGGTACTTTTGGTTTTGGGTGGGATTCTCTTGCTTTTTTTTTTTATTTCTTATGCGATCTAACTGATTCCATCGTGACAAGCCACGGAACTTTAGGTTGGTTATTTGTGGATGCCATTTTCACATGCCATTTTGATTTATGTGAGTTTGAGTCATTGAATGCTTTTAGGTCCCATTCCTTTCTTCCCATATTTTTGTGAGGCTACACAAGGCTGAGAGCTGGAGAATGTAATGATTTAAACCATCTTAAGACGTTATAATCTATAATCAATGGGCTTCCAAATAGCGTTTTCAATTATGGAAAGTAGCAGTGTCATTGTGCATGATAATAGTGTGCATAAATTGGTTTCTTTAGGATTGAAACTTTATAAGGTTGCATTTCATTTTATTTCTGCGTTTCATTTTCTGGAAAGAGAAGAATATTAACATGTTGAAAAATCCAAATGCTATTTGATACAGATTAGGGGAACAATTAGAGAGAGGAGTTGAATAGATTACTTGTAGGTTGCGAAAAGAAAAGCGAAAAGAAAGTGTAGTTGAGGAGATAGATGTGGTATTTACCATTCTTCTTGTATTTGCTGCTACATCATAGAACTTTTTGTTATTTTCCCTTTTTAATCATTTAATTCTGGACTTCTGCCTAGGGGTAATAGGTTCAGATTTCGTTAGAACTTTTTGTTCCTTTCTCTTTTTGCTTTTTTTGTTGTTGCTTGCAGGAGTTGAATCAAGCAATGACTTCCATTTTCCTTTTTCTATTGTTGAAGAAAGAAAATTCTGATTTCATTCCATGTTCTGACTTAAACAAGTGAAAACTATGTTACATGGACTCTTCTATTTCTCCCAAAATATCTTG